CACGCCCCGTCCACACGAGGAACTGATCTAGACAACACGAGGCACTGATCAATAATTGCCAGCTGATTCTTTGATACGGCCAGGTTATTGGTCCTCTCCTCCTCTCTCTCTCTCTACCCTACCTCATCCTCTCCCACACTCTCTACCTCACCTCGTACTCTCCCTCACACTCCCTACCTCCCTCATTTCTTCTTGTTCACATTTTTCTTAGCGTCCTCCATCTCTCCCTAACTCCCTACCTCTCCCCTCCTACTCTCCAGGGAAAGGCGGGGCCCCTCCCCTTACTCTCCTGGATGACCTAACAAGGTGAGGTGAGGTGAGGTGCATTGTTGCTCAGGACAGGGAGAGCTTACTGCCAGCTGCCCTTGTTTTTTTCTTTTCTCCATCTCTTCTATCTCTTTCTTTCTCAATCTCTTCTCTCTTTCTCACTCTCTTTCTCTTGCTCACTTATATATTACGAATATGTATTTACTTGTTTATCTAAGATTCCTACGTCAACATTTTTTTTCCGTGGAGAGAGAGAAAGAGAAACAGGAAATGGTTCATTTACAAGTACCGTTGTTCACAGCACTTAAGCATTATTATTCATACAAGAGACTCTGATCTCAGCACAGTCAGCCTCATATCCTACTTTCCAGTTGACACCATTAAGAGTGAACCATCGAGAGAGTGAGAGGGAGGTGAGAGAGTGAGCCAGAGAGAGAGAGAGAGGGTGGCGGCTGAGGTGCACTTTAGATGGTGTCTTTGATATGATGTGAAACTATAATTCTTAGAAGAAATCCCCGTTCAGACAGTTCATCCTGGGTTTTCCTCTTAAGCTCCATGAACACACCTTAGCTCAGACTTTCAATGGACAAGCCACTTTGGTCCGCCTTTCTAGTGCGTTCCAACCCCCGTTACCAAAAGTCTAGAACGTATAATTAAGCGAGCGGGCTGGCCCTTGGTGCAGGGCAGGACGTCCCGCCTAGGTATCACACAACTTGGGGTTAATCCACGTCCCCGCCGCCCTGGGGTACTACTGCGGCTCACACCGAGAATTTCACCCCGCTAATGACTGGTGTCGGGAGGCTGTATGATTTGCAAGCTGACCTATGCAAGAAAGACTCACAGGGCTGACTGTACTGTTCACGCTTACCTACTGAGCCAAAACAACACTCACACTGACTCTTCTCAGTGAGACGATAATGTGGACGATATTTGAAGGGAAAAACCATTATCTTGAAGGTCCCGTTGAAGGTATCTGTACAAGGCATGTTTGCCTGCTGCAGAGAAGATGTCAAAGTTGGTCTACATCCAGCGAGTGACCGGCGCCACTTAATGAAAGTCCGGCCGGTTTGGACACACCGGGACCAGCTGAGACGCCTCATGCAAGTCGAAATGTAACAGTGTTATAAAACCGGCCGACGGACCTGAGTGAAAAGGGCCTGGGTTGCTTCATCGTGTTTTATTTAAAGAGGTCTATAAACGCCTCATTTCCAGTACCTGGGAGTCGTAGCGAGAGCTCCATTTAATCTACCTCATACCCCTACCCCGTCCCGCCCCTCCCTGGCCCGCCTCCCAAACCAGTGAGCAGTGAAGAAATATGAGCAATATATACTGTGTTGTGGAAAACCCGGCGGTGTTGCGTGAGCAGTGAGATGGCCAAAAGGTATTGTAAAGTGGAGATTAGCAGGCCTCCGGGCGGGGTCTTGGAGTGAGGTGGGCAGTTAAATTCCCTGCTCCTGCTGCTCCCTGCTGTCTCCCACTCTGCTTCTACTCTCTTCACTCTCTGTTGAAGTCCTCTGGAGAACGCTCAGGCTAGTATTTTGGTTACTTTCCCTCCCAAGTACTCCATTACTCTTGACAACGCTTCGCCGCAGAGATTACAGTGGTTATGTAAAAATGTAAAATAATTTGCATAATCTACTGAACCCAACCCAATGTATCTAGTAGAAATAGAAGGGGAAGGTTGGTGGTTAAATAGAACACGATTCATACAGAAATACCCTAACAAAAGCAACAGTGATGGCTTAACTTTCCAATTGAACCCATATTCACTCTCCTCCCAACATCACACACACACACACACAGACGAGTTGTACAGATCTCGCCAGTAAAAAGTCAAAGTTTACTTGCTCCTTCCGCTAGTTCGTAAAAAAAAAAAAAAAAGAGCCACGCCATAAGAAGTGTCCGCCCATGAAAAACCCGCTTGTGTTATGCCTGAGGTGTTGGGCAGCTGCAGAAGTGGCGGCGAAACGAAGGAAGAGAAAGACAGTGGTTATGGCCGTCCATCCTGGCTACTGACACCATAACTTTCATCCCATAGATACGATTCATCACCACAAGAGAACACCAATGATCGGAGAAACCAGAGACCAAGAACAGCTACGAACACCCGAACACACACCAACACAATACAATACACCCTAAGCTCATTCTCCCCATAAAAAAAATATAATGTCCAGGTAACTACAGGTAATCAGTCATACAAGCTGTTGATAGATAAGAGAAGTGATCTGTCACCGACACCCCGCTCGCTACACTATCCATCACCCTGATAACTAGGTGGGCGGCAGTACGTGTGCACGGGTGGTGTGGGTGGGCGGGGGTGTAGCTGTAGCTAAGATGTGTAGGTTGGAGAATGTAGATAAGGTATGTGGTCGGGGGGGGAGGGGATGAATAAACAACTAGAGTGCAGGTAAGATCCAAGATATAAACATGACTGAGAATGGATTAGTTCTCCCTTCAATTACTCTTGATAGGTCACAAGTAAAACGAGAATCTCTACTTGAAATAATCATTACTTGAAAATGTCACTTCCAGTATTGCTAAACATAGAGAGTAGGGTGGAGATGACCTTATATGAGGAGGTGTATTATGACCTAACTTTGGGAGGAACACCGTGACCTAACATGGGGAGGTATACACACACTGAATATAGGAAAGTTTACCGAGAATGTACATGGGGAGGTGTACATGGAGAGGTGTACAGTAATTTAACAGGATGAGGATGACCCAACACAAGGAAGTGCAGTGTGACCTAGCACGAGGAAGTGGGACAAATATGGAGACGCTCTGAGTATCCCGTGATATTTTCTGGACAACTGCACTAAGAGCTACAAAAGCGAGGCTGGCAGCGGGCTGGCCCTACCCCTTCTCTTAGCAAGAGGCGAGAGGCATCAAGGCAACGTACTGGAAGACTTTTGACCTATACAGGCCAGTGCCGCAACCATAGTCGCTGGAGCGTGACGGAGGAGGAGAGCCTTCACCCTCTTGGTATCAGTGGCGGCAGCAAGGTTGATGGCGCTCTCTTGGCTTCCTGCCTCTCTACCTGAGGCCATCTGACCACGTGAGGAGTGAGAAGGACAGAGGCAGAAGGATGATGAGACATATGGGTGAAAGGTCTTGGGGAAAGAGTGCGGTGGTAAGAGGTGGGCATAAGACTGTGTAGAATGAGAGGCCGCGAAGTTAAATCGTCAGAACTGTCATGCTGAGGGTGATGGCTGTAAAAGTATGTTGATGAAGAGTGTTTGGGGGAGAAGGTCAAGAAGAGAAGAGTAAACAGGTGTAAAAAAATATGTGGTTTGATGGAGGGAAGTGTGACCTCTGATAGTCAGAAGATAATGTGGATGAGAGACTGAAAGAGGCAAGAGACTCGGAGGAGGAGAACCCGGGGCTGTGGGCGAGGTATGGTGACAGTGCTCTACAATAGGTCGTTATCTAGTTATGGACCAACGCTCGTCAAGAACCCTCAAGCTGACCAAGTTGACCATCTAAATCATATGGTCGAGTAGGACGAATCGACCCCTGCCGAGTGTACAGTGACACCGTGTTTTTCAGTGATCGATTACCGGCAGTAGTATCGACCGGGAATGGCGAGTTTCATAAAGCTTCGGTACATCAACAACAATAACACAGATTTAAAGATACTGTACTCCAACTATCGCAGTTTCACGAGAGGTGAGCAACGTTTCAAGGTTTGAGATTCTACGACCTTCAAAACACGACGAGCTTGAAGGCATTAAAGGCTCTGAGAAACGGCATGCTTTAAACACACTAAGGGACCTCGAGAGATAAGTTTACAGATACTGCTATCCTGAAGATGATCACACACTCAGAACAATTGACGTTTAAAGGAAAACAAAAACAAAGGAAAGAAACATATTTAATTCCAACGAAGATTTTGGGGTAAAGGAAGAATGTCATATTTTCTCTTTTTGTTTGGGTTAGAAATAACAAAAATCATGCAACTGTGAGGAATATATGACAACTCGAGACGGAAATGACTCGGGTAACAGAGAAGGTGGTGCGGCAGGTGATGAATGAGGATTATCCAACGATAATTAGATTGGGTGGATAGAGAACTTCACAGTAAAACTTTTGCCGACTTTGTTGAGATTAACACAACACTCTGACATTTACGGCGGCGGCGGCGGCGAGATTGCTTTAGACGAGTGAAATTATGCACAGGGCAACTATGAATAAACGGCGCAAGACAAGTCAAGGAATTATTCAAAGATAATGATATGCCTGACGTAAAACCGAGCTAACATCGACTCCTAAAACACACGATTATTTTAAAGTAGATCGTGGAGTTACAAACTGGAGAAAATGGCAACATATTTATACCCACAATAATGAGTCAACCTTTCCCGGTGTATCTAAATGCATGACACAACCCTGAGATTATATCAAGACTTAAAAGGAGTTCTTACAGTGATGATACTATTAAACATGACTAGCATTAAAACTTCCTCTCCTGGTGTGAAGGACAAGGTGTAATAACAAATGAATGGGATCGAGGCTGTGATTCAGAGGTAAATACAACCATAATTGCTGAGACTCCTTGTTGCCTCGCAGTAGAAGACGTGTTGGGTTAATATTCCCACGAATCTTCACAGGTAGACAAGGTACTGAGGATTAGTAGCTGATTTAGAGACTGTCTCGGGAAAACATGTCAACAACATTCTTTCCAGTTTACATCTCCCTGACCGAGACACAGTAGAGGAATCAACACTGACCTGTGGACACATCTTGCATTGGTACTTTCGGGCCGAGCCATTGTTGGGCGGGTTCTGTCCGATGCCTGGCGGAGTGGGCGGCATCTTGGCGGCGTTGATAGGCTGAGGGACGATGAGCATGGAGGGCGTGGACACCGTGGGCGGGGACGCTGACGACGCCGACCCATTGCTGCGGGCGTAGAGGGACGCAGGAGCCATGTTGTGCGGGATTTCAAGGCCCCGTCCGTCCAGCCGGTCGTCCAGGCTGTTGGGGTGACCTGAAACACAAAACCAGACTTGGGTTAATGACTCTCTGCCAACATTCCAAGATAGGCAAAGTTGATGGTCTTAATAACTTACGTCACACTATCATGATGAGAGATAAGAAGAGAATTAATAAGTAGCACAATATAAAAACCACATTGAATACTAGTGATAAAATATGGCTGGGTAAAAGTGAAAATGAAAAGGTTAAGAAATACAATTAAGTCGTCAGAATTTTAAATAATAAAAAATATACACGAAACATACTGGAATACACGGTGATCAATATACCTATACAACGACACCAAAAGGAACAGAGGCAGTCATCACAAAGATTATATACCAATATTCCCACCACTTATGATATATATATATATTCTCTAAATTTGGTCTATCTCACTTTAACAACCCTCTCCAATCCTGTAACTCATCCGAAAACACCCCTCTCAGACCTGTAACTCATCCGAAAACACCCCTCTCAGACCTGTAACTCATCTGAAATAAACTCTCTACATTGATCTGTGTCTGTTCAATGACCCTGGTAACTCAACTCCCCATCCCCTTCCTCCCACCTGAAACAAAACAACAACAATACAAATATAATCTAGAGAAAGAGAGAGGGAGAGATAGACGTCCATGAATCACACACACACACACACACACACACACACACACACACACACACACACACACACACACACACACAGTATTGATCACCGAGAGAGAGATATAATCACGACGGGCAGGTGTGTGTGTGTTGGAGTGACCTGCCGTAAGTGGGTCACACTACTACAGGTATAGAGGCCATGGAGGCTCCTATCTAGTAATATGCCGACCGTTTAGCTCTCGGCTGCCAACCTTAAAACCAGTTTGCGTCACCACCACCACCACATCAAGATTGACCAATACTTTTTTCACCCATTCTCATTTTAGGGAGGGATTCAAAAGGTTACGACAGCCTTAGAGACTCTCATTCACTCTCCCTCTCTCTCTCTCACTCAGACACATTTACTCTCTCTCTCTCTCTCTCTCTCTCTCTCTCTCTCTCTCTCTCTCTCTCTCTCTCTCTCTCTCTCTCTCTCCTTTATGTTATGTTCTCAGCCATCACGGACAATACTTCATCCCTTTTCCTTCGCTTTTTCTTCTTTTTATCTTTCTCCATCTCCTACCCCCTCCTTTACTCATATTTCTCCTCTCTGTTCCGTTATTATCCTCCTTTATCTTCTTATCCATTTATTAATTTATCATCATCCTCATTCCATTACCCCTTCCTCCTCCTCCTTGTTCCCTTACTCCCTTCTCATCCTCCACCTCCTACTCCCCACTAAAACACTTCACATATACTCTACTTCCAAACCTATTTTACTCCCTCACTGTCACCTCTCCCATTATGGATTCCTAGCACACTTCCTGATTCACCACGCCATTTGTTCTCTCCACCTGTTCTTCCTCCGCTAGATTAACCTCCACTCACCTCACCTCCTCCAGTTCACTCATAACACCACACCTTCTCCATTGTGACAACTAACCACTCTTACTTATTCTTGGGGCAACTTTTGTCCTATTGTAGTCGCCGTCGTTGCCACCTTCGCCTCCTTCACTATAGTATACTACTCAGCTCAGTTATTCACCACTTCCATACGCCATTGTGGTCGCTGCCCCACCCTCCTCCTCCTCCTGTATTATGTCGTTACCTTTTCTATCATTTATCCGTTTATATATTATTCCTCATTTGCCACTGCACTTTACCTTCTCTCTCTTCCATACCTGCCCCTCCCTCCCTCTCTCTCCACCCTACCTACCTTCCTTCCTTCCTACCTTCCATCTACCTCCCCCCTTCCTTTCCACAGTTACTTCCTTCTCTTCCACAACTACCCCAAACTCTTTATACTCACCTTCCCTTTCTTTTCCCTTTCCACAGAACCTCTTCCCCTTTATTCCCCTCTCCTTCCCTTTCACATAAACACCTCTCCTACAAGTGTCTACCTTCCCTCTCTCCCTCCCCCTCCTATCACCTGTGTGTGCGTGTGTGTGTGTGTGTGTGTATGTGTGTGTGTGTGTGGGCAACCCGTCAGTCATTGTGCTTGACGGTGAGGGGTGTTTATAGTGTTGTTGGGTGGGGTGGGGTGGGCTGGGGTGGGGTGGGATAGCGCATAGCCCACCCACCGTCCCACGTCTATTATTCATTCACAACCACGCGTGTCTCTCTCACACCATCGCCGTGAGGGTATAGGTAAACTGTCAGCCATCACACACAGTCCCAGCTTTCACTAACGTTCTCCTCGTCTGCCACATCACCTCCCAAAGTCTCTCAGTTTCAAGTAATAACACGTGTTTTTGGGCTGCGTTAACCTGCCTCCCGTCTGCGAATCCAACCTCGACTTTGTATTTTTTTTTGTAAGTGTATAATTTGGGAGTAAAGTGTTTTGTCTGAGTGTTAAGTGTAGTAGTGTTTTATTAAGTCATAAGTGATGTACTTTATTTTTTTAAGTGTGTGGAGTGAATGAGTTTGTTGATTTAAGTGTTAGGTGGTGATTTGTGTGTGTGTGTGTTTATAAAAGTATCAATGGATGCAATGTGGTTTTTAATGAGCATTACAAAAAAATATATATTTCCGGCTGTAGTTGAAGATAAAACCACTTTTTTACGACTCGACAACACACACACACACACACACACACTAGATGGCGTAAACAAGAAACATTTATTTTGATCATGAAAAACTGTTTTGGTACCGCAACTCCACCACGCGGCGTCCATGACAACTAACAGACGAGAACAACAACAACAGGTGGACAACGGCATCAAGTGAACGTCAACAGAGGAATAACAACGAGGAGATGGGAGGAGGCAGATGAATAACAAGGTGAGGGGTAATAACAGGTGAGGAGTAACGGAAGGACAGGTGAGGAGTAACGGGAGAACAGGTGAGGGATAACGGGAAGATAGATGAGAGGTAATTGGAGCTCAGGTAAGGGGTAAAGGTGAGAACAGATCAGCTATAACAGGAAAACAACAACAGGTGAGAATTAACAGTCATGAGAACAGCAACAGATGAGTAACGGGATTATTAACAGATGGACTTTAACAGGTAAGGAGATACAGATGAACAACAACATAGGAGAAACAAATGTCAAAGCACAACAAGTAAGCGGTAATCAGCGAACGACAACAGGTGGACCATTAAGTAACAGGTAAAAGGACATCAGGTGATATAAACGACAGTGCAACGAGGGTAAGAAAACCGTAATTAGTCAAAAGTAAGAGAAAACAACAAACAACAGCAGCAGCAGGGAGGTGAACGGTAGGGACACCAAACAACAACTTGGCTACGTCCGGAGTCATGCCGTGGAGTGCAGCTTTTTGTCCACCTCCTTGGTTACCTTACCTGGCGTCTCCCAACCCTCGCTCCAAACCCGCCCACCAAACCCAACACATTCTACATTTAAAGTCAAATAATTCCTTAAGTCTTTTAATAACCTCGCATGATATTTTCTTATATTCAGAAAGGTGTTTATTGTTGTCTGTGTGTGGGTAATGTCCGGTTATAGTGATGGTTAACGATTAGAGATTAACATCACAGGAGAAGGGAAGTCAGCACGGACGCATACGGACACCGCTGTTCAGTTCTTGCAGACTCCGGGTGGGTGTCAGAGCAAACCGAATATCCTTGGGAGGAATGTCAAGGAAAGACAGAAAAAACTGTAAGCGGTCCGGTCCATACGGAAGGTTACACCACCTGGCGCGGGACCTTTAAACCTGGAGTCCCGTGTTCAACTTGCCGCACCTCGTTGTGGCAAACACACACACACACACACACACACACACACACGTACAAATATACAACTGCACGAAATGTACGCACACACCTACGCGTACACATACACACACGTCCATGGACAGTCAGGTCCTCAAACAGGAACCTGAGAGCCAGGTCTGTTACCTGCCCACCCCGGAAACTTATGTACCAGTGAATGACTGTTCCCTTTATACAGGTGAAAGGGGAAGGGTCAGGTTCCAGGCGCTTGACCTCTAAGTGGATGACATATACTAAACTAAAGGGTCACAATTATAAGCTGAAAATATCGAAGATTGCCATTGAGGGAGCAACTGGCTGGTCAGGGAGATAACAATGTGGGGGTGTGGGGTTCAAGAAGGTGGCACACAAGAGCTGAGTGTGGTCAAGAGTGCAGCCTGAGGACGTGAGTGGAGCGGCGGAGAAACTGAGTGTGGGGGAGGGAGGCTGTACTCGGCAGGAATGTCTTGCCCAACACACGTTCCCTGCCCACCACCAACACCCATCTAAAGGTCAGACCATGCACACGCCCAGTCATACATATACATGCGCTTCCACACGCGCGCACAAAGACACGGGTACAATGCAGTAATGCACTTTAATATACACGGAAACAATTATTTACAGGCGCGAGAGAGACAGACATTTCTACACATATCACTCTTGCTCGAGCGTGCGCACATACACACAAATACACATGCAACATATCGACTCGTGCACCCCTACACACACACACACACACACACACACACACACTCTGGAAGGGTTATAATCGTCTCCATTACGCCTGACCATCACACTCCACACAGGACGAAGAAACAACATGTACAACAACCTGTGATAAAGGAGACACGGTGGTGACCTCAATACGCCAGACTTTGAACATGGTGTTTGGCCGCCAGCGACACACACACACACACACACACACACACACACACACACACACACACACACACACACCGCCCAAAGCGGTGACCCGGGTAGAGCTGGGACTATTACTACTACTACTTGTACATCTGCTGCCCTCACCGATGTCCACAAGACACATCTGTGAACAACTCCCTCCGTGCACCTCCTGACAGGCAACAGGTGGGACAGCGACAATCGTCCACAATAGAAACTTTTAAATTCATGTATTTATATATACGGTGGGTATATCTGTATTTCACTTCTTGATAATTAAAATGTGCAGCCCAAGACTTAACGATACTATTTTCT